TACGACCATAGGATCATGAAAATTAGGCTTCCCGTCCGCTCAGCCATATACAAGCATGATACCGGCGGATTAGTAGTTAGGTGGGTGACCACTAGCGAATCCCCGCTGTTGTATGTTTTTGCCAAAATGTCTATCTTTTTGTCCATCACGGTCTACGCGATCGAACACCGATAGGCTCGCTCGTACAGGATGTGATGCGAGTCGCTTTGGCCCTGCGAGTGCGGCGACGATGGTGATCGTGGAGACTCCCTCTCTTTTTGCGCGTTTGTAGCAGACCCCGAGCACATGCCTCACCAACCTTCACTTGGACATCAGAACAAACACCATGGTATCATAAATTACCATCTACTTCAACTCAACAACCTTCTTTCCCTTCTTCTTCGCCTCAAGCACCGCATCCCTCCATTCCTTGACCCCATCCAACGCACCCTCTGGATCCGCCTTCTTCTGTAAAAGGTATCCTTGTATCTCCGCTGGCGAGAACACACCTTCAGGCAGCGCTTCCGCAAATTGCTTCGCCATCTCCACAAGCTTTTCTGGTGGTAGCGTCGCGAAGTTGGGTTTCGATGGCAGAGCGCCGCTAGTGAGAGGCGAGGAGGTCCCACTCGATGGCCTAGCTTTTCTCTTCTTCGTTTTGGAAGAAGGGGATTTCGCTTTCTCGTCATCGCTCTTCTTCTGTGTCTGCGTCGCGAGGTCCTCTTCGCGGCTGTACATGCGACGGAAGATCTCTTGTATTTGCGTGTTGGTGGCGAGTGTGAATCTGATCTGCAAGTCTACGCGACCAGGGCGGATGAGTGCGGAGTCAAGCTTTTCGGGGTAGTTCGTTGTCATTATCAGGACGCGGCCTTCGCTTGAGGCAGCGCCGTCGATGATGTTGAGGAGACCGGCCAGGGAGATCTTGCTTTTGCTGCCTTCTTCGTCGGTGGGAGAGGGGACTGGTGGTGGTGGAGGCGGAGGTGAGGGCTTCACGCTTGGTGCTTTTATGCTGGGCGTCTTTACGCTGGGTGCTCGGACGGATGATGCTGCATCGTCTGTAACGAGGGTGGTGGTTTCGCTGTCTGGCTTGGTTATCTTGCGGGGACGTAACGTTTGGGTAAGTCTTCGGCGGAAGGACTTCTTCTTCTCAATATCGGTGATGGACTTTTGTTTCTCCTCGACTTTCTTCTCCTCTTTGCTCTCGAGCTTCTCATCTCTGCTTTCAGTATTCTCCTCCTTCTCTGCAACGGTATCCTTGGCTTCAGTAGGTGACTTGGCTTCCTCTTCCACCTCCGAGACGCGCTCTGGTGCTGGAACCTCGGACTTGTCCCGACGGATGCCCGCGCTGTCAATGTCTTCTAACAAGACGATGCACCGATTTGGTAGCTGACTGAACAACATTGCAAGATCCGACTCGGTCATGTCACGCTCACTCAAAGAAGCGCAGTAGACGCTGAGCCCAAAGATTCCAGCTACTGCAAAGCTCAAGGATGTTTTGCCAGTACCGGGCGGTCCGTGGAACAGGTATCCTCGTCTGTGGGGAATACCGCGGGCGGCATACCACCTAGCTGTAGCTGGGTGGAGGTATTCGTTAATGTCTGCAACGACTTTGTCCTTCTGCGTTTCATCCAAAGTCACTGTGCTAATAGGTCGTGAGGGTCGGCTGGACTGGGTGGACCAGTAACCACCGTGTTTAGTCTCCGCTCGCATAATCTCAGTCGTGCTGTTACTCTTGTGCGATGACCATTCCTTGACATGATCTATCAACTCCTTGACGGGCTTCGTGCTGCGACCCATGCAACGGATGATGACAAAGTACTCAATACGTTCCGCGTACTTGTTCTCTTGCGAATCCTTCCTGAACTGAAAGTAGTGACCATTGTGGGTGAAGCTGTCGTCGCCAAGATTAGGTTCGTAGTACACAGGACTAGTACCTTTGTACTTGTCGTAATTAAAGATCCCAGACTCGTCCAAGACGTCTTCATCGTCTGACTCGGGCTCATCATCGGAGTCTGCGCTATATCGGGTCTTTGGCTTCCTCGAGGTAGCTTTCAAGTCTCTGCTGACTTCCGTCATGCGCTGTTCCGATATCCAGGATATGAACTGGGGGTATAAATCATCATCGTCGTCTATCCGGATGGCAGAGGTGCCATAATCTCTGCATGAACTGTTAGCAGACTGCAGTTGACTGGTAGAATTGTGGACTCACTGCATCCATGTACGCCCCCTGTTGTACAAGAACATGGCTCCTTGGAAGATACCGAATAATAAAAGGTAAAGAGACATCGTGCTGCCAACATCGAACCCAATTTTGTTGAGGACCAGCTGGACAATAGCACCGAAGCCGGGAATGTTGATCGCTGCATCTGCGAGGCCAGGAGGTAGCGATTCCTTTAGACTCTCCATGATTATACCAGGTCGATGGCGCAATCCGCACGTCGAAGGATTGTTATAAGTGGACGTGTCTTGAATGAAGTCCGATGCGTTTGCTCGCGTAACAAAGCACCCCCGATTAGATGTGTTCACAGCGAATGTCGGTGATTGTTGTAAAGTCGTAGGAGTCCAAGACGAGACCTGTGATATACTTATTTGTCGCAAGCGCAATTCACCAGGCATCCAGATGATGTATGTTGGTTTACCTAATAGCAATTATCGTCATGACTTGGAGTTGAGAAAAAGGGCGGTGGGATGGCAGCCTGAGCTAAGGAGTGGCTGTGCATATTGTGCAGCCGGTCCAATGCAATCAGCTTCGACATCAGCCTCTCAAGGCTCTGTTAGGAGAAAGATTCCTCGCTGGGGTAACGGTCACCTGCATGATGCGTCCAGTGAGTGGAGACCGCATGTGTCTAAAGTGCAGTGGCATCGCTAGGTCGAATGAGAGCGTTCGCGCGCAAACAGCGTGGCTCCAAGCAAGGCTGAGTGGCGTTCACTTTGAATCCCAGGATAAACATCATTTGCGCACGAAGGGCGACTGAAGTGGCTGAGATGCATGCCGCTGTGGATACGGACGCATCATTGCCGACTTTGGTGAGAAGAACCGGCGACGCCGGTCGTGAAGTGCGGGCTAGCCGGTGAGTCAAACGCCCACCATGGTACCGTAGGGAGGGTGCTGACTCGAAAGCTTAGCGAGGTAGCAGCAAGGCAGCCGCAGGGTTGAGATGTGCTGGGGTTGGTTCATCTGCAGATGGCGGAGGGAGGGCTGCAATCCTCCGCATGTTCGGGCTAGCGTGTTTCTGTACATGGTCTTGGCACTATACGAGGCGGGCTGTAAGCCCGCTCCAGAGCTCACACCTTGTTCGTGACTTAGGAGAATGTTGCGCTGTTGTTCGTGTGCGATAGATCTCAGAAACGAAATGATGTAGAAGTGGTGATGAGATTTCATTGGTAGACATGCCGTCTGGATATCAAACGCCCCTACGCCCTTTCTTTTGCCGTACAACTATGCTAGCCCCTCTAGTTACCCAACCAGTCTAGGAACTCTGGCGTGAAGTAGCTGACCACTATTGAAGCTCCCGCTCGGAGTATGCCCTGCGTAGCCTCTTCCGCCATCTGCCTCAAGTCGAACACACCTGCAGCTGCGGCAGCGTGGATCATAGCGTATTCTCCAGACACCTGGTATGCTGCAATGGGCATGTCCTTGCCAATTTCCTTCGCATCGCTGATAATGTCGAGGTACTGGCTCGCAGGCTTGACCATGATGATGTCCGCACCCTCACCAATATCTCTGACAATGGCTCGTCGTGCCAGACCACGGCCGCCGGGAGGTAATTGGTAGCATCTTCGGTCGCCAAACGAGGGCACTGAGCCTGCAGCGTCGCGGAAGGGACCGTATAAACATCCTGAGAACTTGGCGGCATACGACATTAGCACGACCTGGTGCGAGATGCCGGCTTCGATGAGCCTCAGCTTGATGGCGCGTATGCGACCGTCGTTCATGTCCGAAGGCGCAACGCAATGCGCGCCGGCGTTGGCATACGACAGCGCCACATCCGCAATTCGCTCCACTGACAATGCATTGTTCAAGCTCCCATCCTCCTTGAGGATACCGCAATGGCCGTGTGAGGTGTATTCGCAGAGGCAGACGTCGGCGACGATGAAGAGATCGGGGAATGCTCGTCGCAGCAGGCGGATGGCCTTGATGACGGGGCCCTTGGGGTCGTCTGCGTTGGTGCCCAAGGCGTCTTTCGCTGAGGGTGCGAGTGGGACTCCGAACAGTATGACGGACTTGAGGCCCTTTGCGACGAGCGGGGTGAGGTATGGCACGACCTTGTTCAGGCCTCGGCGGTGGATGTTCGGTAGGGAGGGAATAAGTATCTCTTCGTCAGGCTGGTCGGAAATGAAGAGGGGGTAGATGAGCATCGACTGCATTGAGTGTTAGCCTTCGTCATAGGACTCATGGCGTCATACCTCGCACCTTTGTGAGCTGTCGCTCGGCTTGCCATGCTCGCGACAGAGGGTGGCTGTATCCTCCATGCAATTGGCTCTTGATATCTCCGGATATGCTCACGCTCGTCGCGGCAGTGCTGGCGTAGGATCGGGTGGAACGCGCTTCCGATATTTGAGAGCGCAGGTCCGGTCGCTCTGGCCGCTCCGAATTGTTCCGGTATGCGATGTCTGAGACGAGCGAGGAGAACGACATGGCGGAGAGAAAGCAATGATATTTCGTAGGTTGGTGAAGGAATCGAAAAGTTCAAGTCCCGCCTGTGCAAAGAAAGTGGAATGCCGCTGACGTTGGCGTCGGGGAAAGGTGGCGTTCGTAGTAAATGCGGACAGCCGAGGCGTCAAGTTTCACTCCGACTATAGCGATCGCACTTTCAGTTTCAGAAAATCGGAGAACGGAAACACGCAGAGACAAGATAGTAGTATCGGATTGAAGAGAGGAATGGAAGCGCAGTTCTCTAATCAATCATATTTACATAAGGTGCGGCGACCACTATAAGCATACGCATATAAGCTGCAAATTGTCTCCGGTGCCCAATCATATGCGCAGGATTACTGAGAATCAGATGTGGCCTAGCGTCGGATGGTGTTAGTCAGCTCCCGGTCGAGAAGTCGGGACAGTCTCGGGAATCTTGGAAGCGCATCGAGCTTCATCACATGATGCATCGCCGAAGTAAACACCTGTGCAATCGCGCTCCAAGCGCACACGATCGATCCTCAGCCTCTTCCACGACAAGATGATGTCGTTGTTTCGAGTCGCGAGAACCCAGCGGGGCGCACGCCTTTTATGACGATGTGGCTGGCTCACGATTTCCCGTCTCTGGCCGTCTGCCTCCCCACCATCTCGACTTCCTCCTTTTCATCGGTCCTTCTACAATGGAGTCTTACTTTTGTCTTGTACGGTCGCCATCGTTCAGTAATCGCGAAGTCTGTTGCTACCGCCGATCAAGATCAATCTCAACATGACCGGACGTGGCTACTTTGCAAAGTTACTCCTCAACTCAACAATGTGAACGCGCAGTATGCGATGCGAGCCAGCACCAACATTAACATGGTACCGCAGTATCCTCATCAGATGGAGACGCCAGGCAGATAACGCCACGTACGAAGTCTCTGTCGTATACCCACCAAAATCAATACGGACAGGACCCTCAAAGCAAAAAGCAACAACACAAAACGAAAACATCAGCTTCGGAATGCGATGTGTTGAGACGAAGGGCAAAGCGGGGTCGCCTTCTCAACCTATGAGCACTTTCGATAACCCACTGTATTCGCTTACGGCTCGCATGGACACAACGTGTATACCGACGTCGTGCTTTCTTTTTCGACATCGCAAGACCCCGCTGCCCCTAGCTTGAACCCTAACTTCGAAAACAAACATCACAAAGCAAAACCTCTATACCTAGCGACCATACCCGGCACTCGGTTAGGCTAAGAAGAGTAACTCCGTCCAATAGTGCTACACCATCATTTTCATTATTCCTACTAGTCTAGGAGCACTGGGCGCTACCCCGAGTGCCGCGTCGCTCCCTTGACGGTTTTCACTGCAAGCCGACAGAAACGGCAGTCCACAATCACTGTACTGACATGGATGATTGCGCGCCGTCAGCGCGGGGCAGCTAACGTTAGACCCCGTAGGCCGTTCATCATCTTGGTGTTGCGCATATCACGACAAACAAAGTATAAGCCGTGCGTCCTGTGAAAGATAAACACCAGGTATATATGTAGAGGGCATGCAAGGCACACGAATCCTTCCTTACCCCTGTACCCATCGCAACTCCACTCAATTCGGTGACGATTGTCTGTTCCAATCATGTCGTCTGACCTACGCGCCCCCACCGTTGCTGTCAACTTGACACTGATTGTGTTGACTTCACTCGCTATTAGCTGTCGTATTGGGAGGAAGATCAAGATACTGAGCAGCTTTGGCTGGCATGATGGTGAGCTCAGTCTACTTATTCCCACACGAGTCATCATACTAACTGATATGAAGCTCTTGCTGTCTTTGCCGGGTCTTGCGCCATCGTCCTCTCATGCATCCAGATGTACGCCACTCGTCTCGGAGCAGGCCTACACGAAGCAGATATTGACCCAGCCAACATGGAGATGCTCCTCAAGGTACATCAACCCCAACTAACGATGGCCATCTTCCACCTGCTAACTCACGACCCCAGATGGTCATGGCCGCCCTAATCTTCTACTTCTCCGTCAACTGGGCCGTCAAGCACTCGCTACTCATCTTCTACGCCGAGCTCACCTTCGAGCCGTGGGCCCGCCGTTGTATCTTCATCATGCACATCGTCGCCTTCTCCTTCGGTCTCACCTGCGTCGTAACTAGCATCTTCCAATGCGTCCCGGTGGCGAAATGGTGGGACCCAACCATCGAGGGCTACTGCATCAACTTGAGCGATTTCTCCTACTTCAACTCGGTCTTCATGGTGGCCTGCGATGCCGTCCTCTACATCCTCCCCGTTATTTTCACCTGGAATGTTAAGCTCAGGCGCCATCACCGCATCGCCGTCAACTTCCTCTTCGCTTTGGGCGGACTTGTCCTCGCTGCAAGCGCAACTCGCGTCTACTTCGTCCACCGACTCGCCACCATGGGGGACTTCCCCTTCCAATACGCTGCATCCATGATCTGCGCCGTTGTGGAGAACCATCTTGCCGTTATCGTCGCCTGCGCACCCAGCATCAAGGCTGTCCTCATCCGCTACTACCCCAGCCTGCAGAGCAAGTTCGAACGTATCATCAGCGACGAGGGCTCGGGCTCAAAGGGCAAAGCATACCGAACTGGAAGCAGCGATCGTGCTACATATGACCCTGAGGCTGGAACCAATGGCAGCGAAGATGTCAAGCTGCAGATTGTTAAGACACAAGATGTCAAGATTGAGAGGCCAGATGCGAATCGCATGATCACTGGCAGCAGTGGCAAGAGTGAAGGTAGTCTGCTAGGACGCTGGTGGCGGGCACCTAATAACTGGAACGTCAGCGTCGAGAGCCAGGGGAAGTAAGATGGAGGACTTTGTATATTCGTAGTCGTTTCGAGGTTGATCACCCCTTCCTTCTGTTCAGTATCATACCCATGTAGTCCTCAACCACCAAGTTCATCTTCATATCCACCACTTCTCACACATCCGTCGTCCTCCACGCCCCCTCATCACCTCCCAATCTCACCCCCAAACCACCCCGAATACCTCCCCCCCTCACTCCACATCCTCCCACTCCTCCTCCCCACCCCCAACCCTCGGCACCCCACCCGGCCCCAACAACGGCCTATTCCCTCCCGTCCCGATATGAACGAAGCCAAAAGGCTCACCAATGCACATCTCCCTCTCCTCCTCATACTCAACTTCGCTTTCACCGAAACCAAGCGCAATCTTGATCTTAGCCCACAATATCTTCCAGAAACCGTCTGACCCGACGATCTCGGCTTCGGTGACAGGCTGGGGCAGCGCGGTGATGCTAGTGTCTTGCGCGTCTTTGAGGTTGGCGAGTGTGGGGTTCGCGAGGTGGTGGGATGTGTTTGGCCGGGAAGAGGAATTGGCGTCGGCGAAGAGGATGGATGTCATGGGGAGGAGGTGCTTTGAGTCGTTTTGGGCCATTTTGTTTTGAGGCGCGAAAGCGTGTAGTGTAGGTGTAGTGTAGGTGTAGTGTGTATAGTGTGATGTTCTTTGTGCGCTGGTGTTTGTCAGTGGCTGTATTGCAAAGATATGCAATGCGAGTGTAGAGGTACGGTGAGGTTGGCCCTGGCTACGAGTCTGAGAGACGAGGGATATCTCTTTGTTGTGGTCGCGGCGCGTGTCTCAGTTCGTTTGTTCGGAGGTTGCGTCATTGCGCAAACGGTGGGTTGAATGCGACGGTGGATGCAAGTTGCGTACGCGGGGTAGGGGCGCGCTGAGGGTGGTCTGATCTCTTGACTGAATAGAGTCTTCATATTGTTATGAGCAGAATTATTCTTCATAAACTCTATCATGCGCTGAGGTGAACTGCGAGCTCCTATCGAATCGGTGTACTACTCCAATGCGACTGGCCCGTCGTCTGAGTCCGGATCGCGACGGCTTCTGACCTATTGACCATCGTGACGACGCGGTACAGACTTTACGCGCTGTGCCATTTGGTACGAGAACCTCCGATGATCTGTTCATACCCAATTACTGTGCGCTGCTTGAGAACATAGTCTTAGGCCTTGGACAACATTTGCTGCAAACGCGCTCACCGTCTCCCTGGCTTGGGCATCGCAGCCCATCGCAGGCAGAACTGGACCTCATCCCTTGCTCTTGAACAACTGCATAATGCCATCACAATATCTAGAGAGTGGCGGCAAACGTGCTAGGGTGTGTTTCGTATATCGAGGAAGGCGCGGTGGTACTTCGGTTGTCGTCGCGTCCACTCCAAGGCTCGTTCGTTATTGCTGCCCGTACGGGATCAGAATTGTGTAAAATCTCAAACTCATGCCTTTAAGAAGAGGGAAATAGTCGCATACATGAGAGCATTGAAGTGGAAGAATGCGCGTTCAAGAAGGTCAAGCCAAGAAGGACGTTGGCAGTCGCCGCGCGGCGCGACTACCTAAGTAATCAATCGGGCTTACTGTGTATGTACCTCAAACCCAAGCAATCCGAGATCGCTCCCGTTCGCATCCGTCCGTTTGACAAAGCATCAATATCTGATTTACTGCAACATCGCTTCCCCAGATTCCGTTGCCGATGGTTAAACAATCTGGGGTAAAGTTGTCCACGGAACGATTTGTGCCACCAATCACACGATACAACACCAACAATGCTTCCTCCACACTTCCCCACAAAGTCACAATGGCAATGGCAAACAGCGCGCATGTTCAATAGTCGGCCCGTAGAGGTAAGCGCGACGGAATAATTACAGACTGTAGTAATCGCGTAAAGGGGTGCATCTCGTCAATCTAGTATAAGTACCCGGCCGTTCCGATGGACGGGTACCGAATACCAGGTCACTCGTTCTCTGCCGATCAAGATGGCATTCCGTATAGTACAATTCCTTGCATTTGCAAGCACTCTTTCTGTCGCATCTGCCGACAAGTACACACGAACAAAGCCCGACCGAGGCGCGTTAGTCGTCGATGCGTCTGGCGCAACCAACGGCAGCTACCCCAGCATCAGTGCCGCAGTAGACGCACTGCATAACAAGACCGATGCCCAGAAGATCTTCGTCGTCGCCGGCATATACAACGAACAAGTCTACATCCCTCCTCATGCCGGCCCCATCACCCTACAAGGTTCTACGAAGAACGCTCGCGGCTACAAGGACAACGAAGTCACCTTGACATACAACCTTTCACGTAATACACCCGGTCTTGCCAACAACGACGCAACAGCTACCCTCCGCTTGAACACAACGAATATCCGCGTGTACAATCTGAACATCGCCAACACCTTCGGCGCCGCAGAGAAGAACGGCCAAGCCCTCGCCCTAAGCGCGCAAAAGACGAACCAAGGATTCTACGGCTGCAAGTTCACCGGTTACCAAGATACCATCTACGCCAACACCGGGCGCCAGATCTACGCAAGGTCCTTCGTCAACGGCGCGGTAGACTTCATCTTCGGTCTGCGCGCCATCGCGTGGTTCGACAAGATCGATATCGAGGCCATCGGTCCCGGTTGGGTTACTGCCAATGGTCGCGAAGCGGAGAACAATACCAGCATCTATGTCTTCAACCAGGTCAACGTCTCCGGAACCAACGGCACGAACTCGACCTTCCTTGGCAGGCCGTGGAGACCTTACTCCAGGGTGGTTTTCCAAGACAGCTATCTGAGCGATGTGGTGAAGCCGGAGGGATGGGCGAGGTGGGATGATGTACAGAGTGTGGATAATGTTGTTTACCAGGAGTACATGAACTACGGGCCTGGCGCAAATCCAGAGGCAAGGGCAAACTTCTCATCGCAGCGGGACGCGCGGATCAAGGCGTCGGATTTGTTTGGGGTGAACTTTGAGAAGGAGAACTGGGTTGATGCGGATTATTTGTAGATATCTCATAGAATCTGAGAGAAGCAGCGTTGTACGATAGACTTGAAAGAGGTAGTAATTGTAACACTCGGTGTTCTTCAACCCCGCGCCCTATAGCATCGCGTGCGAACTAAATGAGGACATTTTATGCCGAAAGCACTCATGAGAAGCAGACCTGGATCGGTTGGTAGTCCGACAAGCTGTTAGAAGTCGTATAGTGGGTTGGGTGGTTGCGAATACACGCGGTTGGTAGGGGCGGAAAGTCCGATTGCCGGGAGTGGGGCATCACGTGACTATCCGCTCTGGCGGGCACCACCTGGGCATCCATGTATCTCCAACAGAGCGCAGGATCACTCACCACAATGCGATTCCGAGCTCTTTGGGCTTCTACCCGCTGCAGTGTATGGTATCGTGACGCGTAGATATGTTCCCACTTTGATGCTGTCGTCGCTTGTTCTTTGGCATACGTCATCATCTTAATTGCCCAGGAGCGCAAGCTCTACGGCACACGCAAACATCGACAAAAAGTAGCGTCGAAAGCACTGGCGTTCGGTGTCATGCTTTTCCGCAGCTGTCATAGATAAGTAAGAGTGGATTTGTACGGGAAGCAGATGCCGAACCCCTAGAGATCGGCCTTGCGGCTTGATGATGACGTTTTGGCAACATCACAGGCACGTCAAGGAGGGAGTATGATAAACATGCGTAGACATTTCGCTGTGAACTTCTGCAAACTGCGACTTTATACCTGCAAATTCCCGTAATAGACTCGAGATTCACCAGAAACAAAATGGCATCAAGATTCCTCCAAAGCTTCTCGCGCTCAGCGCCCATTGCGACCCGCTCTATCCAACAGCGAAGCGAAGGTGACTACCCTCACTCCAATACAAAAGGAACAAAAACTAATCCTTTTCTTCTCAGTCCTCGCACCAGTAACCACCCGCACATACGCCAGCAGCGCTGCACCCGGCCAATCATCCAACGTCTCCAACCCGCAAGCAAGCAGCGCCGAGAGCCAGTCCATCAACAAAAGCGCCTCAGTCGGCCAGACCGACAAGAACGATGGCGACCACGCATCGATACAGAACCCAGTCAGCCATCCAGAGCACGACCGCGCAGGCGCGACGGAAGAGGCAACGGAAAGTCAGGACAACATGAAGCATGACCCGAAGGAGCCGGATGCGAAGAAGAGGGAGAAGACGCTGAACTATGGGCAGAATAAGCCGCTGGATGCGGCTGATAAGTAGAGCTTGGCAAAGGAAATGAATGGTTGTTGGGCGAACCTATGTAAATTGGGGAGCTGGAAGAACAATTTGAACAATGCTGATGCGGCCATGACCCTGAGACCCGTGTAGTGATGATGCCCCATATGCTGTAGAAAAGGCCTACACATCGTCTTCTATCTGAGAAGGAGCCATTGCTGTTTTGCAATCATGTTCCGAGTAGCGATCATCATCTTGATACACGATGCGGTCGATCCATTCCTTGACGTCTTCGTTCTTGCTCCCAACCTTTTCAGATGGCCGACTATCGGGATTCCCGTACAGCCTAGTGCTGTTGGTCGAATCACTATCGGACTGAAATAGCAATTGTCGGCTTAGCTACATCAGCACATAGTTATGGAGCGCTCTCCATCAGTGAACACCGATTGCCACTTTGTCATAATGTCGTGGTTGAATGGTGCCCGGAATTGCCCCAGTCTCTCGTATACTTTGCCTTCATACGAATTTGTTTCTTTCAGCAACAAGCCTTCCACCATATACTCTACCTGAACAAGTGCCGCAAGTAGAAACACGCTTCCATTGTCGGGCTTCTCATTCGGCTCATCCATAGTGACAAAGAGACGTTCAAAACCCTCCTCTTTCAAACTTTCTGCATTTTTATAGCCGATCGGCCCACCCAGCGTCCATTTGATAGGTCTAGACCAGGCCCGGATGGTCAGCAGTATCATCTTCTCCATACATGGTCTTCGCTCGTTTCTAACGAGTGGAAAAAGCCTGTACTCTTCTGCGATTGCTATAACCGTCAAAGACACTCCAGCACTTGGTCGCGTTCTCAGTCGGCCATTCATCGATGCCCAGCTCCACGTTGGCGTGACCACCCAGCTGCCATCCAACATCTGGCTAGAGGACTTGGGCAGCCTTTGTGGTGGTCTCTCATCAGCATGGAATGGATGTCCAGGCGCACGATTTGCTCTCCAGTTTAAACTTTGTGGGAGCGTTTTCCAGAAGTGGCCAGCAAGATAGGTATCGTTTGATGCGTAGCGCATGCAGCTTGCAATAGCCGAAATAGCAATCAACTTGTCCGCTTGGGGATATGTGAGCTGCCTCGCACTGTACTCCGCAAGGATCTTAGACCAAGTATCCTCTAAAGTCCAACTGTCTGAGGATTGCGGAATGGAAGGTATCTGAAGACCCAGCGCTTCACTCAGAACTGCCCTCGTAGAGTCAGGACAAAGTTCGAAGCCACATGGAAGAGATTCGCTTGCGTTTGGGACCCGTTCACAGTCCCAGAAAAGTTCTCCATGGCCGATGCTCAAGACGCGGGTAGCCAACAGCCGTTCTTGTAGGACCCATGCGCGACTTCCGAGGGGCTGTTGATAAAGTGAATGTTGGAAGTACTGGCTTGGTATGACAGTGAAGGCACGAGCTGTGCCGGTAAAATCCTCACTCATTCTTCGCACAGCCATATTTGTAGTGAAAGGGAGATTCGCTTTACGAGTATAACCTCCAATACAGCTTTGGTCCGGGTGAGTAGCCTGCACCAAAGAGATGTTGATGATGCAATTCGAGTACACTTCTTGCATGCGACTGCACTCCAACTGCCAGTCTTCACTACTTCCCCTGCCAGACTGTATGATACAGAGAGCATCGATCCAGAGGTAGCGAACTCCGAGCCCTTCTACGAAGCGAATTGCCTCTTGGAAGGCAATGGGTAAATCTGGATGGAGTATTCCGAGCCGAAAATCTTGCATATTATCGGCCGTCAGCCGGATGAAGCTAGGATTTGGGCCCCAGCAGTAACTCAAAGCAGCATACGGGCCCGATGGTTCTTCTTCCTGTGGTAGTATTAGGCGGACTTTGTGGCTACCAAGTTCGAGGAGCCGTGTCGGATATGTATGTGGCTGTGTATGTTTCTGGCACTGCTCATGGGTGTCTAGACAAGTGCTCATCCACTTTTGCGCAGCCTGTAGAGATTCTGCCATGGGTATTGTGGACCATCTGCCGTATGTACCGACATTCACTGGGACGTTCGCTGTAGGTACGGCGACAAATCTCTGCGAATCGAGCTTTTTCGGAAACCCGTTGGCAACACTTTTCTTTCTCCCCCACGTAGATAAAGAGGAACAGCTGATGATATGTTCTTCTCGTAGAGAACGGGAAACTCCAGAAGAACTATCTGGAATCCGACCGATGGTGAAGTGACTTTTCAGGTCGTCCCTCAAGTGCCCAGTCTCTGGCCTTACAGATTCCCACAGGGGAGTACATATGTAGCATCCGTCTGCTGCTGCTTTGGTGAGGGAGGCAAGGCCCGAATGATGCTTGCGGTCGCCGCGTGAGAATACACGTACGCATTCTTCGCAAAGCATCTCGATCAATATTCAAACACAAGCAGCTCCCCCTTCCGCTGGGCCAAGGCGGCGATACAGTGGTTGGGAAAGTGTGAGCGTGAGCAGGATACTAGAGGGACAAATCGTGGCGCTTTTCGTCATGCATACTGTGGAACCACAGCAAATTATCAGGATGTGCGAGGTCGCTGTGAACGTTGTGCGGTTGCGGATGACAGTAGAGGGCGTGAGATGTAGATGCGGAGTCGCAGCTTCGTTGATCTGAATCGAATTGTTTACGACGCCGCATGTTGTATGCGCCACGCACGTGATGTGCACACAAAAATTTGGAAGTTAGCTTGATGATAACGGGCCTGCTCTTCAACACTCAGTACTGGAGTCCTCGGATGTCGTAGATACGCGCACGCATAACTGCAATCGTACTAGTTCGCCCTCTAGTTCTAATCGCAGTGGATCATGTTCTTCACGCCACATCGCAGTGCCCCAGCGTATAGCGCCACAAAACGCATCCGTATCCAGAAAGCCGATTACTGTTCGGAGGAAATGAAAAGCAAGGACAAAGGCAGTTTGTTTCGCAGTTTCGAAACTGTTAAACGCGGAACAGCGGACACTAGTGTTTTGGCACGGGCGATCCGCCAATGAGCAGCTCCGCAGCTGGCTTAGCGCCTTGGCAACGTCTCCTGTCGTTCATGCTGCGGTCCCTAACCTCCACAATAGTCCTAGGCCTAACGGCGAAGATGCCTCGCTTGGGCGAAAACACCAGGAGGTTTGAAACTTTGGTGGACGTGCCGAGGGAAGGATGCCCTGGGCTGTGCCATGGTGGGCACGAGGCTTCGGCCTCAGGCATAAGTACCACGGGCGCGCCACTGTTTACGGTTTCTTCATCGCGCTTCATTCTCTTACCACCTTTACTATCTTTTCAGCTTCTTCTATCGTTTATTACATTCGTTACTAAGGCACAGGATGTCTCTTTACACTCTTTTTGCTGCGGGTCTGCTCGCTCAGTTCGCAAACGCGTACACCGTCATCCAGATTCCTCCCCCTTTCATGGAGAAGAACATCGACCCCATTGTCTACCCTGGCGAGTTTGACAAGTCGCATCTACACTCTTTCTACGGCTCTGACGCCGTTGTCGCCGGCACCAAGACCAGCGCCGAACTCCAAAAGGGTTGCACCACCGCCGAGAACCCCAACGACTTGTCGAGCTACTGGGTGCCCACCTTCCTATACACCAAGGATGGCAAGAACTACGAACCCGTTCCCGTCTTCCGCTTCAGCGCATACTACAACCTCGGCGAGACCCCCGCTGAGGTCGCCATCCCACAAGACTTGCAGATGGTTGCCGGCAAAGCCGACGCCATGACCCCAGACGCTATGGACGTCAACGCAAAGGCCTCATGGGGCTGCGAGAGCGAAGACATTCCTCTCGACGCCAACGGCTTCCCCACCAAGACCTGCTCCACCCACATCCAGCAACTCCTCTTCTTCCCTCAGTGCGTCAACGAGAAGACGCTCGAGACCGGCTACAAGAGCCGCGACAACGGAACACCCAACTGGTGCCCCAAGGGCATGAAGTCCATGCCTCAACTCCGCTTCTCCATCCGCTACGATATGCGCAAGGCATTGCCCAACGGCTGGTCTGGTACCACCGCGCCGTTCAAGCTGGCCTGCGGACCTGCGTGGTGCTCGCACGGTGACTTCATTAACGGTTGGGTTCCTGAGGCTGCGAAGAACATGGTCGGCACGACCAGCGAGAAGCAGCATTTTGCTGCCGTTGAGGGTCCTCTTGGTGGTCCTTCAGATGGCGCTTCTTGCAAGGCTAAGGACGCTGATCCCAGCCATGGCACGAACAACTATGCTAAGAGCGTTGCTGCTATGGCTAAGCGCAGTGTTGGCGCTTGGGGCTGGGAAACCAGGTCTAGGCTCGCTCGCTTGGTCCAGGGCGCATAGGTTGCGACGAACGATGGTATCGTGGTCTCGTATCTGACAGAAGTCGAGAAGACCTTCATGTACATATTTAAAAAGAGGACTCTGCGTGACGTCAACAAAACGTACACATTGTAGCAGCAGGAACCAGCAATTCATTCACATATTCACGTCATATCCTCATCAGTCCAGTCGTGACGTGACGTCTTCTCGTTGTGACAATCAGATGGAGAGTGGAAAACCAGAGTGGAGGTATCATTTCATTCAAATTCGTTCAAGAGGTCGTATGGCTACTGTAGCATCTTCCCTAGTGCAGGAACTCGTTGAAGAAGTTCACAGCACTCCTCTTCGCCCTCTCCAGACCATCCTTCTGCTTCTGGTCGTTAGGGTTACCACGCGCAGCAAAGCCGTGGTTCAGACCAGGGAAGTAAATGTACTCCCACTGGACACCAATCTTCGGCAGCGTCTCCAACGTAGCCTTCTTCAGCTCCTCAGTGTACATTTGGTCGTTCTCGGGGGAAAGGACCTGGACGGGGACCTTGACGTTCTCGATCTCCGACTTCTCGAGCATGGAGGGGTGGGCGGTCGAGATGGCGTCGACGAGCGAGGGGTCGGCGCCGAGCTTGAAGCAGGCCCATCCGCCGTAGCAGAAGCCGATGGCGGCAACCTTCTTGTATTGCGACTTGAGGGTCTGGGCGTGCTGCTTGATCTCGGGGTAGCGGATCTCCTTGTTGTTGCGGCCGATGAAGGCCATGACGTCGAACTTCTTTGCCTTCTCCGGGTCGGACATCGCGTCGGGGTCTACGACTTCGCCGCCGAATCTGTATGGTGGCTGTTAGTCCAAAGGTTGCGCTAAATGTATGCGTCGCGTCGCGTAGCTGCTTACACATCGGGAACGTAGACGGTCGCATTGGCTTCCTTTGCGTAGTGGTCTGCCAGAATGCGGATGTTGGGAAGAGTCCAGCCGAAGACATCGGTGATGATAAGGATAGCGGCATCCTTGTTGTCGCCGGTAACATAGCAGTCGATGTTGTCAAGCTTGTCTTCCTTGCCGACGGACTCGGCGCCCCACTTGAAGCCGGTCTTGCAGTTGTCGCAGGCCATATTGGAGGTTTGTAAGAGGAATTGATGGATGTAGAGGGGGTTTGGAGTGACGTTTGATGCCGTTTGCGAAATTTGGCGGGGTGGAAGGGCCTTAAGTCGTTCAAGCTCCAGGTGGGGTCGGCTCCATCATCTCAGCCGTTTCCGTGCATGAAGACAAAGAAGATAGCCCGGCATTCTAGCCGGTTCTGTCGAGAGAGCCAATCATGACGCCAGGGCGTTACACTGCATTGGCTTGATCCCCGGTGTTGTCGTGATGAGAACGATGACGACGATAGCCGGCGCCGGAATTTGTATTCGCGCATTGCTAAATCCGGGCTTCGCTCGCCGATGTCCGCCGCGACGCTGACGAAGACGGAACACTTTTCTACATCACGGCTCTCGTCAGGCATTCTATCATCCGGTCTCCGACATTTCTTCAACAAATCTATCAAGTTTATATGTTGGAGTAAGCACTAAGACTCTTTGCTCAAAGCGTGGACATAGGAAGGGTCGTTCCGGCGTGACCTCCGCAAGGATCCTGGACGAAGAAGCCCTATGTGAACTTCAGGCTTCCCATGAGCAATCACAAAGATGGCTAAGCACATTCAGCTCGGACTCAACATGGAATTCCGGATGTCTCGTTGGAGCGCCTGATGAGTCACCACAGTTTCGTGCCAACAAGTTAATAACAAGTCAATAACTATCCATATATTTAGTGAACGCTACAGCTGCATTGCAACCCGCCTTGACTTCACACCCGCATCTCAGCCTACTTCTGGACGGATTTGCGACGCTCCTCGAGTATCATGGCGTCTACACGATTGTCTGGGTAAAGAGGTCGATGAACCTGCACTCCGTACGGATTTCTCTCGTAGATGATCATGAAAGCTTGGCCGAGAGCAGGAGGTTCAAACCTGTTTGCTTGCACCCATCGCGCCTTAAGCGTTTCCCAGACATCTTGCTGGAACCAAGAGATTACCCAGTGCATGGGAACGTCGTGAAAGGAGGCGATGAAGTATTGCGCGTCGCTGCTCAGTGTCCATTTCGCACCACGAAACTGTCCGCCGTTTACAACAGGCCATTTGCGATGGTGTCCGGAAGCATCTCGTGTCGTGAACTCTGCACGTGAGTTGCCCTTGAGATAGAGGAGAACCTTGAGACGCTCATCAGCGCTTGATGGAACTTCCAGCATACGGATCGCGTGTAGTTCGTGAAATTGGCCGTCTAACCCAATCTTACCGGTAGGCATCGGTACATGACCAACCACGTTCAGTTCCCACGAGAAGCCTAGTTCTGGAATCTTCCCATCTGCAGCTCACAGTGGCTCAGGACTGCTATGATGGAACATGTGGTACCCATGCGCAACTTCATGGCACAGAACAGTTGCGAGCATGAAAAGGGTTCTGTATCGTTCGTTTTCACTTACACTAGTCGACTGAAGGGCTTTGACGAAGCCCGTTGTAAGGGCGATGCAAGGCTTTCGAACACCCTTACTAGAGAGAACAAGTGGAAAGTCAGCGGACTTGAACTCATTAAAGTAAGGCAACGATTCTTTCTGACTATATGTACAGCCGTAATAGTTGTTTCTCACACCAGGATGGTAAAACAAGAAAAAGTTCGTTTTTCCAAATTCCACTAGGTTCGCCTTGACAGTAGCAAGGGCTGCTGGGGTCTTATAATGAGGATTTCTCTCCAGGTACACTTGACCGGCCGGATTATGGCGACGATGTCCAAAGGTCAAGTGACTGAACCAAAGCAGGGGCATGTCTTCGGTGAGCCATAGTGACGCAAGTTGTAAGGCAGGTCGCATGCTGCGGTAGAGTTCTGGGGTGTCTTGCCCTGGACCAGTGGCCCAGCGATCCAAAGCAAACATTGGGTGAATAGGATTCGTAAGAGATGGCGCACGATATATCTCCAATCCTCTGTGTTGTCGCATATGCCAGTCAAACTCGCGTTTGACAAGATGAAGAAAGTCAAAGGCATCCATCGCTGAAGCTGTCAAAAGCTCGTGCAAATCTTGGTAGTCTTCGGTAAGGATAAAACCTAGTTGTTCAGCGCCACGATAGTTGCAAAGAGATAGAGGGAGTCGCTTGTGTATTAAATAGTTGTTGGTGGAACTACCTGCCCGTGCTGTGAAGAGGGCGTCATGAAAGTCGCATTGCCTACGCATGCGCTTCGTTGGAAGAATGTGACGAAGACCACCCTCTGTCACTACCGGCGTACGACCCCCGCAACACACAAGAGATACACGGTGACTGAATCCGTCCACTAAATAATGGAAGGGATGAGAAAGAGGTCACTACCGGCGTCCATGAAGCCGAGCGATCTGCTCATCCGAGAAATTCTCCTTCGTCTCTTTGACATACGTTTCAAACTGACCGGCTACCTCAACAACATGCTTCAGATGCGCATACGACAACTCCTTCTTTTGAAACTTTGCGAGCTGCCTTCCGATCGTAATCGCGTTGCGAATCTGTCGACCATTGAGCTCCTCGTCCGCCAATTCCAATACATTGCACTCGATGTCATCAAAGTCGATACCCGGCTCTTTCAGCGCTTTGAGGCGGTTCAGGAAGTTCTTCCAGATACGGCATCGTTGCGACTTGCCCAAGTTGGGGTAATGCAGGGCAAGTGAGATCCTGGATTTGAAGGCTTCGTCAAATGTGCCGACGCGATTGGATGTGAGGATAAGAATGCCGTCGTAGTACTCCAGCACACGGAGGAAGACGGAAACTAGGGCATTGCGTGCTAGATCAGCTATCCCTCGCTCCTCAAGGAACACGTCAGCTTCATCGAGGAGCACTACACAATCCCAGAGGCTACCTAGGTATAACACTGCAGTGGTGGACGTGCAAAGTCAGAATTTGGCTCATGTGCATTTCGTGCAACTGGAACTTACCCGATTCGAGGTATTCCTCGACTTGTTCTGGCTCGGTACCAATGTCACCACATGTGACAGGATACAACGGTTTCTCAGCCAGCTCGGCGACACTCTCTGCGGTAAAAGTCTTGCCGGTGCCAGGGCCTCCGTGAAGAAGAATGATGAGTCCATTGCCTTTCCCCTGGATGATGTCGGTGTTTCTTTCGCTAGAGATTCGGTCGGCTACTAGAGCGTGGACAAGCTCTTTCGTCTTGTCGTCAGCGACTAGATGGTTGAAGGCCTCTTTGTTCCATGAGATGTCGACTATCTTGTCGACCACCAGATCGACTATGGGTAGTCAGTTTCTTTGCATGATAGATGTTAAGAGAACTCATACTCCACACTTTGCGGCGCAGGGAGAAGCCAGGTATAGTTGGCGGAAACAGATATATGTCGGGCGCTTGAGGAGGATCATCGTCGTCCATTCTTTTCACGAACAATGACGTTCTGTCTTTGCTACCACTCATGAACACGGGGCCTTGGTTTCGTTTCGATTTCTGATCATTGTCGTGGAGCTTCTTGAAGGTTTTGTTGTCAATTACGTATCGCTCGCCGTACTATAGCATGTTTTAGCTTTGGTAAAAGCGAAAATTTGATTGAGCGCTTTGTTCCTACCGTATGCGACGTGTCTTCATCCCCACCCTCATAAGAGATCGGGCGTTTGACACGACATGACCAGAATGTACGGCCTCTCTGCAAGAGTTGGTTCTGTAAATTCTTACTGACGAATGGCAAGGGGATTACGCTCAACTGAGCAATGTCGACTTCTTGATCGTGACTGTCGGCGACCAATTTAAGTGTGAGCTTCTCATTTTGACGATAGAACTGGCCATCGTAAACGATAGTCGAACATGACATCTCCCAAGCCCATGCTTCGTTGGCCTTGTTCCTTTCATCAGCCCTTGATCCTACACGCGACGATTTCTCAAATTGATGCGAATCATGGGTACGTCCGTAGACCCTTTGTAACGTCGGCATGTCTCGCAATCGATAGGCCTGAGTCTTGTTGCCATTTTGGTCAACAACAACATCGCCTGGAAAGAAGAGATATTCAGTGAATGCATGGGATATGCGCCCACGAGATTTCATCTCTTCGAACTGGTCAAACTTGGTGGCGTAATTGCGTTCAATCCAATCGAAAAGTAGCTTCAAATGCGCTTGGTGCTTGGGAAGCTGATTTGACACAGTCTGTCCCTTTGATTTGCCACGGTACCAGAACAGGTAGGGAGCCTGTAAATTATCCAAGACCGAAGGTAGCTGTTCCTCATCAAGCGTGCACGCGGATTTGAGAAATATCTGCAAAGCCACGCGAAGCTCTTCGGACATGATCGTGATGGTCTCATTCGACGGTTGTGGGGCAGGGAGTACGCCTGTTTCAAGTCCCTCGGCCAAATCAATAGCGCTGACTCTAGGTGTTGCGTATGACTTGTACACCAAGAAAGAGATGTCGTCGTTCTTTCGTAGATGGGTTTTCAAGTCAGCTAGTGGCGACTCCGCTCTCAGCTGCAGTCCTCCCCCCTTTCCCAGAGCCCAAGTCGGCTCTTGAAGACAAACGCTGCCATTTACATCATCCAATATATGAAGCACCTGGAAGCGTGGAGGACTGATACCCTGCCCCAGTGGATGTTCCGATCCTTTAATGCTCCTCTCCAAATCATCGATCCGTTTCAACAGCCGGCTGACAAGCTCTGACTCACCGGCATTGGCGTGGATTTGTGTCGATGCTTCCATTGACTGAGCGATGGGTGGGTTTCGGATGGTAAGCAAGGGTGGCTGTTGCATGTCGAGAGGCATGAAGTATGGAGAGCTGGATTCGGGGGCTTTGCCGAGACGGGAGCTTCCAGGAAATGATTGGTTAGGGATGCCAGATGGCGTCTTGTCTTGTTCTTGTTGCGCCATGAGCTGTCGCTTTTTGTTCTGCTGCTCCAAAAGCATAAGCTGCATTTGATAGTCTTGAAGAGCGTGATTGCCTTGAGAGGGAGATGGTGGTGGCAATGATTCGAAGGGTACTTTTTCCGTAAAAATTTCCAGGTTCGCAGCGATCGCCAAAAGTTTCTGTGTCGCGAAGTTGCTAGATTCTGTTTGATCTCGTGATATGGTCAATTTCTTTAGGACATTGAAGAGCTTCTCTTCCGCTTCTGCTTCTGCTTCTAGTTTTTCTTTCTGATCGGATTGCTCGTTGCCCCGAAGATACAAGGGTCGACGAACACCTGAAAATGCAGATTCAGAACCGGGACTAGATGAACCCGGGCTGGACGTTTCGTACTCTGCACTGTCTATCTGGGATGCATCCTCATCAGTGCGAAGTTTTGGACCCTGACCGTCACCCGAGCCCTCAGTCTCGTCCCCGCCAGCCTCGTCCCCGCCAAACTCTTGAACCTCGTGATCAGAGTCTCCAGCCTCGTCGCTGTAGTCTCTCGCTTTTGTTGAGCCTGCAGTAGGTATGGAATGGAAGGGTCGAGCAGGATCTCTTTCGCGACCTCTTTTAGGTTTAAGTGGTTTGGTGAACATCTGCAACAGATAGGCTGGAAAGGATGGTAGCGCATAGATAGCAGGACCCCGCGCGACGGGAGGAGTCTGTAGGTAAGACGACAGGGTCTAACCACAACGAGGTTGGTACAAAAGCCACCTGCTTGGCAGCTGAACGCTGCAGCCTGGAAACTGAGTGAGAAACTGCGTCATTTCTCCAGACCGACGACGAGAACATAGAATGACGACGCAACAGCAGCAACTGAGTGAAGGATGGGTCGGCTGTTCTAGTACAACGTATGCATCCCGCCATGACCCTAGGGCAGTCCCGCGGCGAGGCGCCTCTTTAGGTCGTAGCTGCATTAGCCTTCACGCTAACATTTCGTAGTTCACCAGGAAGCAGTGCAGACAGCTCATACAAGCTCGCATCTCTTCATTTTTCTTCTGAATTGACACAAGATAAGCGCAAGGTCGATTTCGCCAACCAGTCAGCCACTTTGCAAGGCTTGGAAAACGTCGTAAAGATCGCACGCAATAATTACGCATCCTCTCGCAGCAACAAAGCAGGGAAATGGCTAGAACGATTTTCCAGCCGCTTGATACATTATGGAAACATATTCGACATACTGGCGCAGCATCATCCGGAATATGTGGCCCTGGCTTGGGGCGCAATGAAATTTCTCTTCGTAGTGAGTCGACCCGACCATAGCATGAGATCTCGAGATCGATCCAATATTGACAACGCAACAACAAGGCCTTTTTAAACCATGAAGGTGTCATTGCAAGTATAGCAAAAGGTCTCGCTCGTATCGCAGATGCTCTTCCTCGCATTGAACTAGCGACAATTTTGTACCCAACGACGAGAATGACAGATGCTGTAGAAGCATTGTATGCGCAGATCATCCGGTTCTTGATCCGCGCCCATGATTGGTACCGAGAGGGTACTCTGCGTCACATCGTGCATTCTGTTACGCGTCCTGCCGAGTTACGTTACCATGATGTTCTGGAAGATATCGAGGCGGGCTCACGGAATATCGAGCAGCTAGCCATTGCGGGGTCTCATGTGGAGCTGAGACAGATGCACACGATCGTGAAGTTGATGGCTGAGCGAATGGAGAGGTCTGAAAGCACCATCCTTGAGATGAGATGCATGATGATCAGTATGTCAACAGTGTTCATATGACGAGGTCTACGCCTGCTCACTGTACATAGATCACCAAGCCATCAATTCATCCTCACTCGTGGATACAAACGACAAGGTATCGGATTTGCAGTTCTCGGAAATGGTGCGAATCGCAGCGGAGCTATCATCATTTGATCCAATTGAGAGCTACAGCCAGGCCGTCATGGTACGAAATCTTCGCCGACGAACTCAGCAGGTCAACATTCCAAATGCTTTTTGGCAATCCCAGACGTTGAAAAGGTTTGCAGAGTTCTCAGAGCCGTCACTCATGCTGGTCAAAGGTACTTTCCAAGAACGAGGGGCGTTGCGCGACGCGGCCGTTAGAGTAACTGAAGAGTTGAAAAGCAAGAACATCACAACACTCTGGGCCGTAAACGCACAACTGTCTGATCGAGCCACCAGAACCCCGAACGCGCTGGACATTCTCAAGTCACTCGCCGCTCAAGCGCTTACATTGGGCGACTCAGCGCACTCTCAGAAATCGACGGCGCTAAGCTGCACGCAGCTTCGCAACGCTACCACGGCGAAGGAGTGGCTTGAGATCCTTGGGGCTACCCTCGAAAACGTATGTCGGGAAGTATACATCGTTGTCGAGTTAGATATTCTGATTTCTTCTGTCCCCGCAACATCGTCAACCGATGAGGTCATTGCGCTTTTCTGCAATCTGCTGAAAGAATTGACGGGCCGCGCAAAGAGGTCTATTGCCAAAGTATTGATTGTGACGAGCAGACCATGGACACCTTTATCGAAGACAACGAACGTCTTCGTGGAGACTATGCTATCAGGCGCCCCTCCACGCGCGAAGCCGCAGGCAAACCTTCGAAGGAAGCAAGGAGGTACCTCGACGTACAAAGCGGCACTACGAACACTAAGAAGATAAGTGCGCTAAGACACTGAGCACGAGGAAGCTCTTTTGCAATTGTGTAATGTTATTTTACTTGCTACTTTACTTGAACACGTTCTGCAGCCCCTGCGCCATTGCCAATGATCTTTGTCCCGTCATGACAACCAAAGGGCCCACTATCATTGCAATGGAATGGTACAGTTACTTTTCGTTCATGCGACGATGAACCGCAAACAATCAGATATGCGCGATGGCGACCATCCGTTGATCATTCATCTCGATCGAAATGACGCGCAGAATAATGTTCGGTACGATAAGCCCGAAAGATCAAAGCTTCGCCAAGGTCTTCGGAGATCGCGCGTCCCATTCCTGTACTTCTGGACGCCGATGATAATCTGCAGGGAAGAAGCGAGGCCCAAGAACTTTTTTTTGCACTTTGCCTGTAACTGTCTTTGGAAATTCCCCATCTGCAATTCTCAGGAGCGTGGGTAGCTTATACCCAGCTAGCCTTTCCCGTAGATCTCGTCGCAAGTCTTTGATCGTCAAGACATGTTGAGAACCATCGCTGGAAGCCGAGAAAGGAGCAGACATTTCCTCATTCTGCAGCGAGACCAGTGCGGCGACCCGTTGCCCGTACTCCTCGTCGGGTACACCAACCACCATGGCTTCGGCTACATATGGCAGACTCAGCAGCTCGCGCTCGACATCCAGAGCCGAGATCTTGTATCCGCCCGACTTGATGATGTCGAGAGACACCCGACCGATGATGAAGTAATATTTGCCCTCACGTCGCGCAATGTCGCCGCTTCGGAAGTAGCCATCCTGATCATGAGCTTTTGCGGTTCCTTCAGGATCACGCAGGTACTTTGAGAACATATGCTAAAGTTGGTTAGCACAACCTATCAACCCGACTCATATAAGACTTACTGGGCTTTTCACGAGCACCTCTCCCTCGTCTCCTTCGGATAGCTTGACATCAACGCCGCTGGCGAGTTCACCAACTGAACCTCCTGGGACACTCTCGTCGCCGAGGCGCATCTTGAAGATAGCCCCAAACTCGGTAGCTCCGTATCGTTGCAGGATCGGCTTTTTCATCAGATGCTTCCAAAAGTCATCGAGCGGCCGCGGCAGTGCTGATGTTCCGCATAAGCAGGCTCGAAACTGTCTTGCGCCCGCGACGTACTTCGCTATCTCATCTGTGGGTAGCTTGCTTATTCGTTGTTGATAGTACCGTCTCATCCGCATGTATATAGTAGGTACACCAGAGAAGACGGTCAGTTGTCGTTCGGTATCGGAAGCGCCCTGTTTCCATCGCTCCCACATCTGCTCTTCGTCAAAGCCTCCGCTGCGAAACTCGATAAGGCTGCCAGCCACGAGAGATGGAAAGAAGTTGATGCCAGCACCGGTTGCATGATGCACCGGAAGAACGTGGAGAGCGACATCATCTTCCGTCAGCTGGTAATGATCCGCCACTTCGAGGGCACAATCAAAGATGAAAGATCTTCGCATAACTGCACCCTTAGGTGGCCCAGTAGTCCCGCTGGTGAAGATGACCACAGCGGGCGCATTCTCCTCCAAAGTACGGTCGGAAGAGATGATGATGTCTCCAGCATGGAGGGTAGGACAGAAATTCCTTGGCTGAATGCTTACGGCTTGGAAGCTCTTGTTACTCACCGATGCAACCCGGGTTTCCAGGTCGCGACATTTCCTCATATTCGATGAGCTGGCAAGAACCAGCACTGATCTTGACTTGTCGATGAAGTAGACTGCCTCTTCTACAGGTAGGGCTGGGGTCAGTGGCACTACAGCAGCTCCAAGAGCAAGTATCGCCAACACCGCTACTGCGTATTCATAGCCTCCAGGTGCTATTACGGCGATGTATACCTCTTCCCGTCTTTCTAGTGCCTTACGAGTCGCACTCGTCAATATGCCGAGAAGCCTTTCCCTCAGGGCGAGCACATCCGAGAGTAATTCTAGATGTGTCTTCTGCAAATTCAACCGAACATCGTCAATAGCTATACGCTCAGGTCTCCGGTTGGCAAATCGGAGAAGCCGACTGAAGAGAGGCTAGGATATGTTCAGCACAACGTCACAAGCATATCTGCACATACGCTTACACTATTCGGCAGCACGTTACGCCCAGAGTGCTTCGGTACCATACAACATCGGTCCTCCATCATCGTATTGCTCGGTACCCGCCCAAGCATCTGGGATCTGACCGCCAATGCTCCGTATTTACTCTTCGTACCTGGGTATCAAGGTGTTGTACTACATGATGAGCCGGCTACAAACACTCGGATATAACGACTCGCATGCGGGGTTTCATCAAGATTATGATTCCTTAGCCGATCGTATCACAAGATTCGCGGGGAAGTATTCCGCGAAACCCCGCAACGCTTTCACTCCCGGCGCTAATGGCTGTGCAAGGCCCCGCCGCACGCTCGTAGCCGTAATGATGGCCCAAGGTCACCGGCAATCTCGATAAGAAGGCGATGCAGATTCGCATAACTGTTGGCATCAATTAGTTGCATGCGGCACAGCTTCAACACACCGTTCGGCAATTCCGCCCGCGTTCGATGCATGAAAGGAGGACTGTCACGCGAGTCGTTGTGCCGATGGCCATTGCTCCTTCACCGTTCATGGACTAGCGGAGAGGTTTGCGACCGGTCGGCACGGCTTCTTGGACAGAACCACTCAACGTGCAATTCTCAAATGCCATCACATCAGACCTCCGGGGTCTCCGTTACGCGCCGGCCCTGAGCGTGTCACTGCACGCGTATCACAATCTCATCATTTTGCACGAAGGATGCGATCAATTCCCTATGTCGCATGGTTGTCGCGGCTGCATGATATCGAGCTCAACTCGATCCACATTCCTAGTTTCTACTCTTTCAGGCGCCTATGCCCCCGTACGTTCAATCACGAATTTGTTGTTCTCTCCCGTCCAACGCTGTTCCGGGTCGTCTACCCGGTCTTGCATACCGCCGTTCGCTGTGCGACGGCCTACAAACCTTAATCCTACGGTGTCGCCTAGATAGTCCCTCAATGCAAGAGGCTACAAGGCGCATGGAAGCCTTCGATAGCTCTCAAATATTTCCGCAATGCAGCTGCCTGGAACGAGCCCGATTGATCAGAAGAGCATGCTATTTCCTTTTCGAAAGGCGCTGCATGCATGGCGCTTGTCGCTTATTGGGCAGTGCTGTCGCACATAACGTGGGGCTTATTGCATCAGTCAGCCACAATGGCTGCAGCCGCATCGACATCTATCTTCGTCATCTTACTGCCGACAAGGGTTCTGTTTGATTGTTTCTTAGCGATGCTGATGGTATTTGCTGGCATTTCGCGCTGGTAACGACCCACTAACCGAAGGACCGCCGGCGACGTGTCTCCTCAAAGGCTTTACCGATCATATGACGCATCATTGTTTACACTCACAGCCTGCTCAGAGGCGCTGCATCACACCGCTACCTGTCAGATGCTATTTGGAGTATCACCATGGTAGCTAGCTTCGGTGAGCTCTCAATACTGCGGCGAGACTGGTTTGTCGAAGGCAGTCATGAAAAACGTGTTCACATTGACTGGGACGTTGAAAGCAACTATGTGCTAGCGCTGGCTCCTTGGTCTCGCGGATCCCTCCAGGCTGCCGTGACACGCTCAGCGCTGCTAAACGCGGATGCATTTCTGTCGCAAAAGTGGTTCGGGCACACAAGCATCCAAGCGCCTGGTCATAGGGCTGCAATTTGACCTTGCTTGAGGCGCACACCGACTAAAGAAAGGCAACACTTCCGGTGTATTGATTTGCCTGCAGTTAGTTTGGTATCGATGATCAAACAATGCCTCGTGGCATCCTGGTCACATGGGCCATTCAGGTTGAAGAGCAGCCAAACCCGCAATTTCAGATACGATCGGAATGTCACGCTGTGCCGCGACAAGTCCCGCAGCGACAGCACGATCGAAGGACGTGGATGACAGCCTGATTTTGACAGTCGACAAACAAGGACAACTCCTATGCGCCCCACCCTTGTCGCCAGGGGCATAGACGTCACAGAATAGCAAATTGATGTTTTTCGAGCTGCAAATTGTCGCTAACCTCAGCCTCGAAAGGCGAGGATTGGCGAGATGGAAAAGCAACGCATACGAACGGTCCTAGTCGTGCCCATCTCGTTTGTCGGCGGGAACCCTCTCTGAACGTTGCCGCATCGGCTGCACCTCATCCGTTACGCGAGGTTTGGTAACTCAGGCACGGTCGAGCAAAGCGGACGGGGAAGACGGCACGAGACACGTTTGGCGCACGTCAAGGGTTGAGTGTGAATCACGAATAAGCAGACAGGCGGGGAAGGCGGGAATGAGCGTGGCTTATGCGCACAGATGTTTCCGCATGCGGTCATAGTCCTTCTCGGCCCGTAGTGGGCCAATGCCTCCCGTCACACCAGGCGCAGCTCAATGGGGCCTTTTGCGGTGAAGGGGGTAAAATCATCTCGTGCTTCACATGCCTGGGTGTTTGCTCACCCAATTCGTCGTATGTGTGACTCTTCATCGCTCCGGTATATATAACGACTACGCAAAAGCCACGACCATGTCCCTTGAATTACCCCTAGTATCGCGCAACGGCCGGCTTTTTGATCCCATCACTAGCACCATTCCCCGCTTCCTCGAGATGCTGGCCAAACCACACGTTCCGCCCATACCGATGAAGTCGTTTCATCTCTCATGTCTAGACCAAAATGTAGTGCGCGTTTACATACAGACTCTGTGCATCTTTCCTGTATGTTCTCCCGAATCGTCTGTTGTGTTGACAGGAATTGACGTTATCCGCAGTTTCCCGATCAGAATCTCGCCGAGGATGCCATCCAGTCTCTGAGTGCTGGGCTCCGCCTCACACTCAACAAATTTCCCTTTCTCGCTGGTACTCTCACACTTGCCGACCGAGAAGCGGGTAAGCTTGCTCTCCACTATCCAGCGGAGATCACAAGCAAGCATCTGAGTCGTGTCTTTCGATCGAAGCAAATCCCGTATCATGAGAAGAAGTTTCCACA